AAAAACCTATTACTCGGGGGTTTTCAGGGTCATTGATTACGAATTGTGACAAAAGTTTTTCAAAATTCAAAATGTCCCAAAAAACGCTCGAGTAACAAGTTTCAAAAGATCCGATCCTTTTTAAAAAATTGTTCAGCATATTAGATCCGCCATTTTGAATATTAAAAATAGGAAAAGAACTAGGCGCAATTGCGCCTACATCTAGGGTTTCATGGCGCTTTAAATTTTAATGTCAACTACTGGGACATGTCAACTATAGGGACATGTCAACTATATGGACATGTCAACTATTGGGACATGTCAACTATTGGGACATGTCAATTACTGAGACAGGTCAACTACTGGGACATGTCAATTATAGGGGCATGTTTACTAATGGGACATGTAATGTCCATTCATGTAATGTCCATTCGGGAAAATGTCCATTCAGTAAATGGAGATTTGGGATCTGTGGGCCCCAACATTTGAATTTGGGAGCTATGGTGCCCCAAAATTTGAATTTGGGATCTGTGGTGCCCCAAAATTCGAATTTGGAAGCTATGTTTGCCCAAAATTTGAATTTGGGATCTGTGGTGCCCCAAAAGTTTAATTTGGGATCTGTGGTGCCCCAAAAGTATAATTTGGGATCTGTGGTGCCCCAAAAGTTTAATTTGGGATCTGTGGTGCCCCAAAATTTTAATTTGGGATCTGTGCCCTAAAATTTGATTTTGGGAGCTGTGGTGCCCCAAAATATACGACGGACAGACGGACGCCAAAGTGAAACTATAAGGCTTTCGGCCATGGGCCACGAAACCCTAAAAAACTGATGTTACATTTGTAATCAGCGACCCTGAAAACCCCTCAGTAACCGGTTTCAATCCAATCCGATTAATTTTTTATTTTGTTGTCCGCCATATTGGATCCGCTATTTTGAATTTTAAAAAACTTTTGTCACAATTCGTAATCAATGACCCTGAAAACCCCCGAGTAATAGGTTTTTAATACAATCCGATTAATTTTTTATTTTGTCTTCCGCCATATTGAATCCGCCATTTTGAACTTTGAAAAACTGATGTCAGATTCGTAATCAGCGACCCCGAAAACCCCTGGGTAACATGGTTAAGACGAATTTGCCCATTTTTAGTTATTTTGATTCGGTATATTGGATCCGCCATTTTGAATTTTAAAAAACTGATATTGAATTCGTAATCAAGTCTTACATTTTTTTCAGTTCTTTAAATCATAATAATATTAAAATGTTAATAAATTAAATTAATCTATTAATTTTATTGAACAAAATTATTTTTAATTTTAAGTGTGGTTTGTTTACATACTAGACAATAAGTTGTTGATAATACAAAAAGAAATACATGAAAATAAACAGTATAGGATGAAAACAGAAATTCGTGGAAATAATATAATATAATATAATATAAAAGTTATATATTATTGTATATTATTTTGTATGCATATTATTATTAGTATTATTATTATTCCATATATACTATATTATAATAGATAATACATAATAGATAAGTTTAAATTAATTGAACAATTTTTTTTCATGCGACACGACATATTTATACAGAATTATCGTGTCGTGGCAAGTCATGATACGATACGATTCTCAAATTGTTAATGTGTCTAGTCGCGCCACGATACTTTTGGAAATTCGTAAACGTGTCCAGTCCTACCACGATACGATTACAAATTTCTAAACGTATCGTGCTTCGCCACGATACAATTATGAATTTCTTAACTGTGTCGGGTCGTGCCACGATACGTTTGAAAAGTTTTAAAAGTGTCGGGTCTCGCCACGATACTTTTAATTGTTTTCAAACGTGTCGAGTCGCGACACTACACGGACACTTTCTTAAAATTCAACAACGTTTCGTGTCCGAGACAGTCCCTGCAAAAAATAAAAACATTGCATTGCATAAACAGTATCTTATAATGATAGTAAGTGCCACTTACAGTAGCTTTTACTTACAGTAAGTGTTACTTATAGTAGCTTTTACTGTCATTATGTGCTACTTACAGTATACGTAGAAACAGTAAGTGTCACTTACAGTAGCTTTTACTGACAGTAAGTGCTACTTACATAATCTTTTACTAATAATAAATGCTACTTACATTATCTTTTACTAATACTAAGTGTCACTTACAGTAGCATTTACTGACAGTAAGTGCTAATTACAGAAGGTAATGATGATAGTAAGTGCAACTTACAGTATATATTACTGTCAGTAAGTGCTACTTACAGTATCTTCTACTGACAGTAAGTGCTACTTATAGTAGCTTTTACTGGCATCAAGTGCTACTTAAAGTATCTTTTTCTAATAGTAAGTAGCATTTAAGTATATGTTACTGCCTGTAAGTGCTACTTACAGTATCATTTACAGACAGTAAGTGCTACTTATAGTAGATTTTACTGGCATCAAGTGCTACTTACAGTATCTTTTACTTATAGTAAGTGACATTTACAGTAGCACTTACTGACATTAAGTGCTACTTACAGTATCTTTTACTAATAGTCAATGACACTTACAGTATCTTTTACTAATAGTAAGTGCTACTTACAGTATCTTTTACTAATAGTAAGTGACACTTACAGTATATTTTACTAATAGTAAGTGACACTTACAGTATCTTTTACTAATAGTAAGTGACACTTACAGTAGCACTTACTGATAGTAAGTGCTACTTACAGTATCTTTTACTGAGAGTAAGTGCTACTTACAGTATATGATACTGAGAGTAAGTACTACTTACAGTATATGTTACTGACAGTAAGTGCTATTTACAGTACATGGAGAAACAGTAAGTGCTACTTACAGTATCTTTTACTAATAGTCAATGACACTTACAGTATATTTTACTAATAGTAAGTGCCACTTACAGTATCTTTTACTAATAGTAAGTGACAGTTAAAGTAGCACTTACTGACAGTAAGTGTTACAGTATATTGCAACACCAATTTCAAGAGATTGTTATTGTTGAAAATAACAGAAAGAAACGACATTAATTTTAATAATTTATTGAAATGAATTTCAATTCGAGTTCTTTAGGAGAATCGAAATAGCTCGACCATGTAAGTTTATCCCATTCGTTTTTTGCGTATTGAAGGTGCAATATTCTTACATTGGATAAAAAAAATTTTTAAAGTGTGTGTGTAACTCTTTGATGAAATGCATTGCAAGAATAGTTGTCCCCCTCAAGGCCGACAACTTGAAAGAAACAAAAAAAAAAGAAAAAAAGTCTCGGCGAACCTCTATGCTCTGCTTTCGGGCAATTAGGGTCTTGAATTATGAATCGAGTGTAACGACGTACGCGACGAGGTCCAACTTTGAGACACACTTGAAAACTTCCTCTCTCCGCTTGCCGAAAATTTCCTTCTCTTTCTTCTTGCGACTTCCTCCGCAGGCACTAGGTCTTATAAAACCTTTTCTTTTTTTTTTTATTCCTCGACAGAAATTACAAACTATTATTTTAGTTTCAATAGGAGAATGCTTAATATTTTAAATAAAGATTGTGCGGGTATATTTATTTAAAACTTGATTATCGTTTATAAAAAAAAAAAAAAAAAAAAATGTTATTTCCGTAAACTTCTAATATGGTGTTGATATTGTGGGTTTGGATTATCACCACAGAAACTGTTTAAGGATAGGAAAATAAAGAATAGGAAAAACTTTTCTTTTTTTGTCTATTTCTTTTTTAATTGCCGGTTATCTTATAGGTGTAGCGTGTTGAACTCGAATCGTGTGCATAAACGTTGCAATTACAACCTCACCCTACGCAGAGAGCAAAGCTATATACTCCTCACGTGGGTCCTCACTTGAATAGAAAATGATAGACTTGAAAGTTAGGCGTGGGCAATGGTTCTTGATAATTAAAGTTATTTACGAGGGACACGAGAAACGAACAATTGAACTCTCTTTGTGTTATATAAAAAGAGGAGGGAATTAAAAAAAAAGTAAACGTATTAGAAAAAAATTTATTTCCCTCCTTTTAAATGTTGTTTTAAAATTTTTAAATCTACTATTATATTATTTGTGAATAATTTTTATTTTTTTAACAAAAAGCACAGATTTTTGTTTTTTTTTTTTTTTGTTTTTATTTGTTTCGTACAAGGATTTGGAGGAAAAAAACTGTCTCGGTTTGTCGAGATGAGTTTGGAGGATTATCTTCAATTATTTCTGCTTCAATTTATTTTATTGGTATTTTCTTTTCTTTTTTGACAATCTAATTTTTTTTCTTATTCAATTTTCTTCTAGACAATAGATATATATATATATAGAATTTTGTCAACTATATATACATCCATGAGAAAAGATATATATTTCTCTCAGAGACAAATAAATATTTATTTGTTGAAAAAGAAATTTTTATTTATTGCAAATAAATATTAATTTCTTGCAAATAAATTTTGTCATAAATAAAAAATTGTTATTTGTTTTATTAAATAACAAATAAAATTTTTATTTACCAAATAAATAATTTATTTTTAATTTTTTTATTTCAATTTTATATTTTTTTATTTGTCAAGCGAAATTTGAATTAAATTTCAGATTCTTAAATAGGTGAGAAAGAGAGGTAAAAAAATCGTAGTCTCTCTCTCTCTTTCTCTTTAGAATCTCTCAAGCTAATCTAATGGATCTTTCCAAGATTGCTGAAAATCTAATGGATCTTCTGTTGATATATTCAGAGTCTTTTTTTTCTAACTTTATAAAAAGCTCTTGTTTTAAATTCCTTTCTTTTATAAAGAGACCGAACAAAATTATAATTTTTTTTCTTTTTTGTTATTCTTTCAAAGAGTTAAATTATTTTTTTTTTTGTGTAATTTTATAGCAGTCATTTGAAGGAGAAATGAAAAATTGAATTTTAATCGTTTTCAAAAATTGGTGAAAATTCTCTTTAAACCTTTTATATATATATACATAAGATTAAAAATAATTTAGAAAAATATAATAGGCTTAATAAACGCATTATCACTATAGAATAAAATTTTACGTTTGTTCCAGAGGTGACGATGTGCAACGATCGATTGAGCTGCTGGACAAAGTGCTCTCAGAATACGACGAGCACGAAACCGAGGGTGAAGGTGGCGGCGGCGGAGGCGTCGGAGGCGTCGGACTTGGCGATTGCGGTAGCAGCACGGAACCTAGTATCGGTCTCACTCCAGACGACGAGAGTCCCTCCTTAGGTAGTATTTTTTTTTTTTTTTAGTTTTTCATTTAAAATTTTTTTATTTTGTTTATCTTTTTCTTATACTTTTATCTCTCTTCATTTCTTTCATATGAATGATAAAGAAGAAGAAACGAACTTGAAAAGATTTCCCCAACTCTTTGAAATTTCCGTTCGAATTTCGATAATTATTTCCCTTGAATTTTTTTTTTGCCATAAATTAAAAAATAAAATTCGCTCTATTTTCAGGAGGCGGAAAATAGTGGAATTTTTGGTGAAAAAAAAAAATATTTTAATTCTAATGGAAATTTTTATTTTCCATCGAGAAAAATCATTGAGAAAATCTTTCCAAGTGGATAGAAAATAAAAAAAAAAAAAAATATCGCGACAAATTTAAAAAAAAATGAAAAGCGATAAGAAAAAAAAATGTTCGTTTTTTCTTGCGAAGTCTAACATCACGTTACACCCATGGGCGGTCTTTATACATCCATAAAAACCTCATGGGACGTAGAAGTACATCACACTTTACCTTTCTTTCTTTCTTTCTTTCTTTCTTTCTTTGCCAACTGCGATTCCCTTGGATAAATTTATAATCCAATTATGGCCTCTTGAATTTTAATTTCGAAGGACAGATTTGATCTGCTTCAATATTTTTTCTCCCCTCTCTTAAAACGAAATAGGAATAGAAAATCTGTCTTGATTTTTCGATATTTGAAAATATGTGGCAAAAAATTATTTTTTTTTTCTTTTGAAATATTTTATCACCTCGTCAGCAATTTTTTTTCCCCCTTTTTTTATGTCATACCAACATCAAAAATTAAAGGTCTCTGAGAAAGTAAACCTCAGAATATTGATCGATCTTTAAAGTCAAGGGGTTTTTATCTTTTGCATTTTATTTCACCACTGTGAAAAAAAACATTCCTTAAATTCTTAAAAATTATTTAATAATTTTATTATTATATATTATTTTTTATTTAAATTTTTTATTATATACAGTTATTTTATTTTTTTAGTAAATTCTCATTTTTATTATTTAAATCCTTTTGTTCCCTTTATTATTAAATCTCATAAATTTCTCCTCTTATATTAATTTCCAAAAAGAAAAATCCCTCTAAATTTTATACTCATCCAATTTATCTTTGAAATTAAAATTCAACACCTAGAAATTGGATTATAAATTTATCTCCGCAAATTGTAGTTGAGAGATACAAATTTTTATGAAACAAGCATTTAACTTGTGAATAATTTTTTTCTAATGGAATTAATGTTTTTCTTTTCTATAATGTCTCATTTTAAATCGAGTCTTTTTATATTTTTTTTTTTCATAATTACATTAATTTTACCAATGTTTTTATGATAATAATTTTGTAATTAAAGTTTATAATTGAATTTTCTAATTAAAATGAAATTCTCGTGGAAATTTGTCCTTGTGAAATTAGTTGTAGACAAGAAAATTGTAGAGTTTCTTGTTTTAGTTTTTTTTTTTATGTAAGACATAATCAGAGAAGATTCACTATATATGAAAGAAAAAAAAGTGGAGTAAAACGCAACTTAGTTACATGTATAGTGCCCCAAGAGGTCGATCCTTCTCTGGCTTAACTTAAATGCGTCTATAGACACGAGAGGAACGTCACTGACGGAAAATACGGAATGAATAAAAGATGTTTATTCTCATTAACATCCCACCAACGTGACGCTCCGCTCTTAGTTACTTTTTTTCAATTTTATAAATATTCTTCTCAAAAAAAAAAAAAAAACTGGAAAAAATACATCGTCTAATTAAAATTGAAAAAATAATTTATTTCATTAGAAAAAAATTGTTTCCAAAATTTACGAAAAGAAAGCAAAATAATAAGATAAAAATAAATAGTAATAATAAAAATTTAAATTATAAAAAATTAAAAAGTATAAAAAAAAATAATACAAAAATTAAGGGGAAAAAAAATTGCAAGCAATAAAAAAAAAGTAAGTTTGATCATTCGTTCTGTTAACATTCCGATTGTGTTAATAAAGAAAGAAAGAAAGAAAGAAAGAAAAAAAAGATGCAGTTTAAGGAAAATCGTGGAGAGTGCTCATCTTGGCGAGACGAATAAAATTTCCTCCCTTTCTATGTCCTTCCTTTCGGATGACTTCTTCTTTCCATCGAGAAGAGAGCGAAGTACTTGAGGAAAGAGCAAGAATTTTACGAGAAAATCGAATAAAAATCCGGACGAGCACTTTCAAACTTGGAAATAAACGAAACTCTGCACAATTTGTATTTCTTCGTTGTCATTAATTTTTCTCCACAAAAAAAAATTTATTTTTGTTTTTTTTTTTCTAAAAAAAAAAGATTTGATTTTTATTTCTATTTTTATAAAATAAGTTTTTTTTATTATAATTATACTGTATATAATAATTATACCTATGAAATTTTTTTTTATGTGATGATTAAAAAATTGATTTTTTTTTAGGGCATCAGTCAGAGGACGACGGCTATATGAGTATGAATGGACGGAAAGCAAAAATGGCGTTGGTAGCACTACGTCCGGTTCCAGACTGTCCTGAACCGCAGGATTGTGCAGGAGTTACCGCTCCGGAGTTTCCTCCGCCACCGGAAGAGGCAGAGCGCATTATCTCTACACTTCTCCCCATGTGAGTCTCTCGACAAACTCATCTGATATTCAATTTATAATTACAGATATTTTGGAAGCCAAGAATTTCCTTTGCTCCATCAAGGATGAATTTTTGATTTAGAAAAAAAAAAAATAAGTTAGAAAAAAATTAATTTCTTCAATTGAATAGAAGGAGAAAAAAAAATTGATGTAATAACTCGAAGTCGACGTGAAAAAAGTGAAGGCGGGGGCCAATTTAAAATAATGTAGGTCGGGGCAGCATCTGGTCGATCTGCAGTTCCTTTTTCACAAGATTCCCATTATCGGCTGCCGATATCGGTCGATCGGGTGCGGTAATCAGTCTCGAGAGAAGCTTAGAAGTCGAAGTCGATTCACATTTTATATATATATATAATACTGTTCGAAGAAAGCCTCTTTCGGGTGAGTGTATCCGATTCGTCCTTTGGGCACACAATCGTCCAGAACGAATTTTATGCCCGCTCAAGGAGAGAACTCTTTTTTTCCAAATTTCAAGTGCTTCACTCGCAAAGAATAGTTTCTACAAAAAAGAGGTACATAAATATATAACAAAATGACACTTTTCCTCTCTATCGAAGTTTCAAATACCGAGAGGCGAATCACAAAAAATCGATACCAAAAAAAAAAAAAATCCAAGGAGAAATTGTTTTCCCAATAAATAAAAAAATGTACCTCTCCTTTTTGAAAATTTAAATCATTTTTTTCAATTTACCAAACCAAGTGTTTTTTTTTCTATTTCGAAAATTATTATTTTAAAATCGAAAAATATGAAAATTACTTCTTCTTTCTTATTATCAATTAAACTTGATGGGCGAAAAAAAAAGAAATAATAGATTCTCATAAATTATGATTAGTAATACTTTTTATAATCTTTGGAGCGTGATTTTATTTTTATTTTACAATGTAATTTTAGAAAAAAAAAAAATAATAATTCTATATAAACTTACAAAAATCGATACGTTCTACCGAAGGGATTAAAAGGGATGATACCCCTAGTAATCCTTTCCGCATAGAAGCGTCCTACCTTTAATTATTTCTATTTATACTTTTTTTTTCCTTTTTAAAAAAAAAAAAAATATATCGACATTTTTTAATAAGAATTTTTCTTCGCACAACATTTTTCTTTTTCATAAAATTTTTAACACACACAAGAATTCTAATAGAAAAATATATAAAATAACAAAAACTAAAATATTAATGGAATGTTTTTAATTTTTTGATTTGAAAGAAAGAAAAATTAATTTGCGAAAGGAAATAATAATTTTCGAAATAGAAAAAATAATTTAGAAAAGTAAAGAAAAATTATTTGATAAATTATTATTTGGTAAATTGACAAAAGAAAAAATTAAAAAATCCAATTAATTGTTGTAAATTAAGAAAAAAAAATTCTTTTCCTGTGGTCCTTTGTTTTGTCTCAGAAATTTTTATGCTTGTATATATACGATAAGAAATACAATCATTTAATCGTGTTTTCGCGCTAAAAAAAAAAATGGAGAGAGAAAAAAAAAGTAATTCTGTAAGATAAAAGTTGGCATTTTGATTGTCCAATTCTCTTTTGTATATCGTCTCTATCAAATAGCATCGGTCGCTGATTACGAACAATCAAACTTTTTCTCTTGTGAAAAGCATAGCATATATACAGCCCATTCTATTTAGTTTCTTTTCGAGGTCTTTAACTCACAAACTCTTGATGCCTTTAAGCAAATCGAAAGAGAGGTTGAAAATCAATCGGCTGGGAGGTCCGATAACGATAGCAGATTTATTCTTGAATCCATCTTCATTCTTCTTTCCACAATCCATTCCCTCTTCTCTCTTGGGATGTAAATATTGAAAAAGGTTTTCTTAATTCTCGAAAGACAATATAAATGTAATTTGAATTATTGTTGATTCATTTTTCTCAGCTTAATTGAATTCACAATTTATTTGTTAATTTTTTTTCTATGAATGTTTTTTTTAATTAATTATTTAATTTTGATCTTCTTATTTTTATTTACAACTTCAGATTTATTTATTAAATAAAATAGAAATTTATTTATCAAATTAATAAATTATGACTAATAATTATATTTTGTAGATTTATAAGAATTTTCTGAATCTCCGATTAAATATACGTTTTAAATACGCTTAATCGTCCCGCGAATAAATTCGTATAAGACGTCTCTTGAGAGATTCTGATCCTTCAATATTTGGTTGTGAGAATTGAGATATAATTTTTTTTTTTTCCTTTTTTTTCGTACTTCCTGTGGGAAGTCGTTGAATCCTTCATCGCTTTCACTCTCAAAGCACCCTTTGCAACCCCAGCCTCCCATCAGTTTTTGCTCTTGCTTTCTCTCTCTCTCTTTTCTGCTATATTCATTCGTCTGGAAAAAGTCGTTGGAGAAGTCTCGTAAACCAAATCATCGACGCAAATGTCGAACTCACTCCATTCCAGAATTCGAAAATCTCGTTAAAGGTCGGATTTCGATGTATTCGCGGCAACAGGAGTGTTGAAAAAAAAAAATAAGCCCCTCTTAATTTCAAACCCAAATTATGAAATAGCGAATTAGAATACATAACACGATTTTCGTTTTCATTCCCCTTTTTCTTCATACAAGATTAATAAATCGATTTTAAATAGGGAAAATTAATGCAGCGATTTTAAAATTAAATTTTTGGTTATAATTGTTTAATTAATTCTACTAATTTTTTAGTCAATGACATTAATAATTATTTAGTTAAAATTAAGGCACTAATTAAAATTATATTACATTGATTAATTTTGAGCGGAATTTTATTTTTTTATTTTCAAAAAAAATTACTCTATGGATTGTTAAATACGGATTGAATGAATGAAAAACTATTTAAAAACTTTAATGATCAGGTTAAGAATTAATTGACAAACTTTAATGAGCAAAGAATTTAAATAATGACGTTTTCATAAAACTTGACTATTATAATGAGTTGTTTAAAATCTCATTAATATTAAATAATGGTGGGGGGGTGAAAATCACTTTCTATTCATTGCTATAAATTTTGTTCTTTGAATTATTAATTTTATCTACTTTTCGATTAAATCATTTATTTATTTTTTTTTATTTTTATTATATTTTATTTATATTTTATGTAGTCATTTTTGACTTTTCTTTTTTCTTTTTTTAATTTAAAATTTATGTCACGTTAGCATTTGCTTCTGCAACGTTGATAATTTTTCTCATCTAAATAATTGTTATACTTTTAAATCATATAAAACTTGGAAAATAGTAATTTTATTTTAACAAGATTCAAGTGAACGCTCGAATAAATTTACTTCTGTATGTATATATATATGTGTGTAATATCAAAGGTATATACATATATATTAGTATGAGTAAAATAAAGAATATCTTTTACAATTTAAAGTGGAACTAATTTGACTGTAACCGCTTTTTTAATTTTTATAGGGTTTCTCCAGGAAACTCGTCAAAGAGAAGTGCTCAACCGTCTGGTCGTCGAAATGGTCGACAGCAGTGGATGGAAGAGTGTAAACGTCATGGACACGCCGTTACCACTCAAACTACCCTGGTAAGTTTATTATTTTTTTTAATGATTGAAATTTGAAACAAAAAATTAATTGCTAATTAATTTCCTTTTTCATATTATATTTCATAAATTTTATTTTTCAATTAATTACACAATTTGTTTTAAAGGAATTTTTTTTTTTCTTAATTAGATACATTTAATATTAATATTAAAATTTATTATTAGAAAATGTAATTCAATTATTAAAATTGAAAATAAAATATTATGAATTTCAACATTTTTCCTAAAATATTTCTAATGAAAAATAATTTCAAAAAATTTGTTTAGTTTAATAAATAGAAATAGAAGTTACATAGTAATAAAAAAAAAAGTTAATTTTGTTGACATACAATTCGTTTGTTACTAGCAGAGCTTTCTTGAATTTAGGGCGAGTTTTATTTGATTTCAATAGAAATTTCGTTGAGGCTTTTAAAATGTCTTTTAGAATATTCCCCAAACGCGTAAGATATCCGGATCAGACACTGAAATGTGATTGCTTGCTTTTATCCTGAGGGGAATTCTATATTCGAGGCAGTGAAAAATCTACTTCTCTAAACTGCAAAAATTGAAAGTGTTTTTATTTTAATAAGAAAAAAAAAAAAATTATAAAACACATTTTGTCTATTCTCAAAAATGATGTAAATTTTAATTGTTTATTAAATTAGAAAAAATTGTATCTTAAAATTTGTTTTTGTATTAATTGAATTTTATTTCTCCAGCCAAAAACGCGGCACCAACGTCCATACGGTTGGGAAAATGGAAAAGGCGAACCATTCCGATTGGCGAAACCACCGAGTCCACCGAGTAAATTTGCTAGTCTCCCATATGATGGTAAAGTATCATTCAATTGGATACCACCGAGAACGTGTCCGGCTGCAATTGAAAAACATCGTGAAGTTCGACGTCGATCATCGGAAGAGGATCTCGATAGTAAAAATCCAAGTCCAGAAAAAGAGAGATCATCCCACATAAGAAAACAAAGGCAAAATAATGAAATTATCAAATCGAATAGCGTTGAGGATCGACTTTTAATGAATCATCATAATCATCAAAATGGTGGTTCCGATGATGTGGAATCATCATCGCGTCGTCGTAATAATTCTGATTCAAGTGAAGGTCGTTTTTCCCGAAATTCTGAGTCAGAACGTTCATCAATACCACGCTCGAGTTCAGTGAGCGTTGAACGTTTTTCAATGAGGGCAAATTGTGATTCATCGGATTTTTCACGTGCCAATTCAACGTCCAATGAAAGATTTCATTCCGATTTTTCGATAGCTGTTGCCAGTGCAAGTTCAAATGATCATGATATTGATGATGTTGATATACCATTGTCAAATCCATTTAATATTAGAAATTTGGATTTTGTTTCATTTTCATTGCCACGCGCCGAATCAAGTGAAAGATTTTCAGCACAAACATCCGATAGATGTTCGGAGGAACATTATTCTGATAGATTTTCAACAAGAAATTCTGATTTCTCAACGAGAAACTCTACGGATTTTAGAACACAATCGGAGGAGGAACATTTCTCGGACGATTCACTTGAGGAGATGCTACCACCACCGCCACCAATTAGCAAAAGACACTCAATCGCTTGGGAAGTGTCGCTTGAGGACGATCCACTTTATGCGCCTGGTAGTACGAAAGTTGTTGGTAGAAGACGACGAAAAAGCAGCGACATGTCAAGTGAGTATTTTTTTTTATTGTATTTTTTTTTTTTTTATTTTAAATTATAAACAAATTTTTTTTTCTTTTAGGCGTTGGTTCAGCATCGAAACTTAGGGACTTTGACGATTGGCAAGATCCTCGTGTTTCGACAACTGATGATGATTTAATATCGCCATATTCTGATTCATCGACGAATGATCTTGATCAAATACAACCGCAGGATTTGTCAAAAAGTGGAACTTATGTAATTCGAAAGGGTCGTAAGAAGGAGAGAAAAATTTTACCAAATTCACCAACACAAACAAAAACAATTGATGATAATGATGATAATCGATTAGCCGAGGTGAAACGTTATTCAAGTACATTTGACAATATCAAAAGTCTTTTGAAAGAAGGCGAAGGAATGGAAAATAATTCATCAACAATTCCAAATGATTTGATACGTGTTATTTCACTACCGGCGATAAATAATGAAAGTGGAAGTCGAACACAACTTGAAATAACCGTCGAGGAAGAAGAATCATCTGATATAATAATCGATAATAAAAATCGATCTTATGTAAAAAAGAATAATTACGATGATGATGATGATGTTGATGACGATGTGGACGCTGGTGGTTTTTCTGGAAAATTCAATAATTCTACCTCAATGTCCAATTCGAAAAGTTTGGACGCAAAAATTGCCGTCAATCATTTCCTTGAAAATATACCGGCGAGTACACGAAAATTGTCAAATGATCAACAACATCATCATCGTTTAGATTCAAAAATACCAGTGAGTTTACTTATTGAGGATCAAATTGTGAAAAAAGCCTTGAATGAAAATCGACGACAATTGGAAAAGGTCAGTGATGCAATTAAGGAAATTGAGAGTGTAAAAAATAGCGAATCCTACATTGATAGTAGTAAACGATGGCGTAATGGTGATGTGAGAACGAGTTCAAAAAGAAATAGTTACGAGAATGATCAACAACAAGAGAAAAAAATTGCTGATAATCCCTTTGATAATCGTCCAAAAAGACAACAAAGTTCCGATTCTGAAACATCTAAAACATCGAGCTCGGAAATTGATTTCGATCGAAGAAAACTCAATGGGAATGAGGTTTATTCATCGGGCAGGCGTATCCGGCAAAATGGTATCGAAAACCATAAAAATGATCAGAAACAAATCGAGAATGTTATCGATGCTATTCTTGAGGATTCGAAGAATCCAGAGTTTCAGGTGAAAATCAATTTTCTTTTTTTTTTTGTTTATTATTTTAACCGTTTTTTTTTTTAATATACGATTTTTTATTTTTTTTATATTTCTTGATTTTCTATTTTTGAATTTAACAAAAAAATCGAATGAATAATTTAGTTGATTTATTCTTTTAGCGAATTTAAATAATTTATTTTAAAAAATGTGTTTTTTTCTCTTTTCTTTAGAAAACTCTTTTAGAAATTTAATTTCATTGATTATTTGTCGAAAGAATGAGTATTATTCTCTAGGTTAAAGTCGTTTTTGTATTATTATTACTATTATTATTATTATTATTTATTACGTAAATACTTGGGGTATATATGTTCCGTTAACAATTGCTTTCTCATAATCGATATTGTCCCTGAAAGTACTTACTGATATTGATGGCTATTCTCATTTAATATTTATACACAATATATAGAGGGATGATGCCATTATTAGACTCTCTTTGTCAGCTCGTTAGAAATTTATAACAACACTATAACAAAAAGGAGATATATTTCAAACTTTGAACAATTTACGTCATCGCACATTATATGAAAAAACAAGTTTGATATAAATATTAAAAAAAAGAATCATTTAAAAACAATATTATTTAAATGGCCTTCTTATACAATTTTTTTTATTGAATATTAATTAATAATATTGAATAAATAAATAATAAAATAAAAATTAAATAAATAATTAATTATTTATTTAGTATATTTTATTTATTACTTATTGTTTTTTAAGTGTTATTAATTCTATTTTGTAATTTAACAGGTGAGCGTTGAAGTTCTTGAATTTCCGCCTCTACCACCATCGCCAGTTGAAGAAGCTGACGAGGAAAGTTCTGATGTGGGAAATAATGCCGTTATTTTAACGAAATCGAAAGCCCACAATAATCGAACGGTTGAATATAGACCGCGAGTACCTCCTCATCGTGGCCTTAGCACCGACTCCAAGGATCATCAAAATTCCCTTAACACAAGGTCCATGGACGCAGGATATTCGAGAAGTCGACGAACGCCCACTGCCAGTAATTCTAGACGAGAGGTAACAAATCCAAATTTCCCATTCCACTTTCTTCCTCCTCTTTTTTTTTAACAATACCGCTTTTTAATTGGAAAAATTGAGAAATTGTTTGGAAAATTATTAGAATATTATTCTTTAATTCCGTTCGATTCAAAAAATTATTTAAAAATACTTGAAGAAATTTTTTAACAGAATATTGGAGAAATTAAATAGGAAATTTGAAAAATTATTAGTAATAGGGAACAAAAAATTATTCGGAAAAAAACATATTAGTCGAAATTATAAAAAGAAATTGTAAAATTTAAATAAATTCAAAAAGAAAATAAATTATGTAAAATTTTCAAAAACTATTCGATGAAAAGTAATAGTAAAAAGCATCTTGTTACATGGACGCTCCAAAGCGCATTTTAAGCTTAGAAGTTTTGAGACCAAGTTTAAAGCTACTGGAAGCTGGTCATAAAGTCACCTTCACTTATAAAAGTTGGTTCGCGGTAACGCCTGAAACTCGCTTCACTTTACAGCCAAGGGGGTAGAGAAAAAAAAAAGGGAAGAAGAGCCGACACAATATGGCATTTGAGAAATGTGGATTCTTTTTGATGGTCGAATCTTATACTTACTTTATTCGAGAATGAAAGAACTAAGCTTTTATACATATATCACATGAACTTTACTGTGTCGCATATAAGTAGAAGCGAGAGTCGACTAGAGTTTTCCGAGTTGAACTCTTCTTGTACTGGGCAAAGAGAAGTCGTTGTTATCCGACATAACGTTGGATACTCTTTCGTTATTGTAAGTTCCTCTTGAATCGTATTATCCTTTCAAGTTTTCCTTCATCATAAATAAACCACCATCCTCTTTCTTCTCATACCCTCGAAGTCGGGAGCATTAACGAAAATTACTCGAGATTCTCGAACAAACTACCATTCAGAAATTGCAAACTCGAAAAGTTTTCGACAATTTCCACAGTGTCGCAGACAAAAGCTTTACATTTTAAAAGACAATTTAACCGAAGGACAATTGAAGGCTAAAGTTAATTTGAAAATGGGGAAAATTAAAAATTTTAATTTTTTTTAATTTTTTTCAAGTATTTTCCAAAAAATTGTCACAATAATTTTATTAACAAAAAATACATCGTACAATTGTATGAAAGGGCATTTTTTTAAATAAACAAAAAAATTAAGGATTAGAGCGATAAAAAATGAAATTTTAAAAAAGATTGGAAAAATTTGAAAACGAAGAAAAAGGAACAAATTGAAGAAAAATTAAATTAAAAACTGAAGGTCAAGGAAAATTGAAGATAAATTTCCCCCAAAAAAAGAAAAGTTAAATGAAAAACGAAAGCGTATTCTTCATATTGAGTTTATTTTTTTTTTCTTTTTAGAAAGTAATCGATAGACACAGGAATTTCAGGACTGAGAGATGGGAAGAAGAATGAGGAAATCAATCACCGAAGATCGCGAAGAGAATTGTTGAGAGGTCAGAAAGAGAGAGAGAGCTTTCTCAAATTGCAGCTTCCGAACGTCGGGGAAACCCACGTCATGAGAGTGACTTCAAATAAAAAGAATAACGAAATTCCAGACTCGCGGTGCAGAGAACAGCCCCTAAAACTTCAAGTAGATTTGGTTTTCAAGATATAAAAACGATTTATTACAAAAGTTTATAGAAACAAAAAAGTGTATTCGTATCTTCATTCTCCAAATTGAAGGAAATGGAGAAATTACCAAAAGAATAGTTTTCGAAATTACAAAACGAAATATTTTGAATGATAAAAAGAAAATTTTTCTGAATTTTTATTTTAAATTACGAAAGGAGAAAAAAGAAGAATTTTCCAAATTCGAAGAATAAAAAATAAAGTTTCCTCTAAATTATAATATTATTACAGGGCGCAATATTTGAAAGAACAAAAAAGAAAATTTTCTGTACTACGAAAGAAAGAATTTTTCAAATTACAAGGCGAAATAGTTGAAGAAGAAAAATTTTCTCTATGATATTTTTTCTTTAAAAAAAAATAAATAGAAAATTTTACTCTAAATTATTGTATATTATTTTTCAAAGTGAAAAATCTGAATAACAAGAAGGAAAAAATTGTCATAAATGAAACAAGGAATACATTAAATGTTTTCTCACTTTGGAGAATGAACACATTATATACATCCAAGTGGGATATATTTTATTTATTGGATCTTTCGGAAGGTCCTTTTGAACCTTCGTCTGCGCCCTTTATCAAAACCTTTGCGAGGCTTGTCTTTTGAAACAATATGTTGGAAGAACAAGGCACGATGATACAACAGCTTTTGCCTTGCAAAAAAAAAAAAAGAAAAAAAACGAAAAGGACAAAAGAGGTTCCGAGATGAAGAGAAAGATACGTAGACACGCGACGTATGTATTTACTTTCTTCTCTCTTTTCTTTCGTTTACGAAGGATGGATGTTTGCCTCACAACTGACGCTTTTTAGTAGTAGCGTTACTTTTTTTCTGCCTTCTTCTCTACACACATAGAAAAAGAGAAAGAGAGCTTTCCATTCTACCAAAGACCAAAAGATATTCAGTGTGTATGTTCTTCTTTATCTGAAACTTGGAGCTGACAGTAAATGATGAAGAGACAGACAACTTATTCTCGTGAAAACTGCTTTCAAATTCGCATTGGTTATCCTCACATTCAAAAGTCATGATAATTTTTTTTTTATCATTTTTCTCAACATCATTAATTAAGACGATTTCTTTATTAAATGATTCGAGAATATTTTCTTTTTTTAAATAGTGGAGTTTTTTTAAAACAACTACAAAGTAGAAAATAACATTTTTTGGGAATATAAAAATAGGGGAGAAATAAGAAGAAAAAACATCTTTGAAGATAATAAGAAAAATAGTTTTCGATAATTAAAAACAAATAGAATAATTTCTCTAGATAAATTATCGAAAATATTATTGCGGAAAACAATAATTAAAATTTGAAACTTTGAACAACTTTAATAACTTCCAAACAGTTTCTCAACAATTTTTTAATTTAAATTTAATTAATTAAATTAAATTTTCTTAATTAATTAATTTAAATTAGTTAAATTAATTAATTACATTTCTAAATTCTAAATATATGTTCTTTGAATTAAATTATTAATTTAATTATTTTTTTTAATTATTTTTAGTTAAAATTCAGAGATAGTTCGTTATATGCTCTTTATTAAATTAAACTCCTTTTTTTTTGCAAAAAAAAAAGAAGAAATTCAAGGTAAAACTAAAACATGAAAAATAAGTCGCGACGGTTCAATTTGTCAGTCGAGGAGCATAATATTTCGTTCATTCTCGTGAACTTTTTCTAAGACAGTTTTCCTAGCACGGGCGGGAAAACTCTTAACCGGCCCCGGGGATAAAAAGTTGGAAAGACAGACGAACTTGATATATAAAAAAAAGAGAGAGAGAGAGAGAGAGAGAGAGTTAGAGAGAAAGAAAGAGGTCGAATGCCAAGTAAAGGCATGAAGTTTTCATTAAGAATATTGGAACGTTTTTTTTTTTTTATTATTTTTCCTGATATGAAAATCAGTTTCTATTCTCCTTCCTATGATTTGACGGCGGATTTAATTTAATATAACGATATCTACCAATAATACATTATCATTCAAGTGTCGAGTGCAAATGACGTGACAAGTTTTTCGTCTTTTTATTTAAAGATTATCCGATCGTACAAAGAATTTAATTTGTTTTTTTTAAAGATCAAATTTCCTCGCAAAAATTGTCCGACAAAATGTAAAAAACCAATTTTTTTATTCAAATTTCTTTATTTTATTTTTTTAATTATTTAACTAGTTAAAATTATTTCATAGATTGATCTACAAGAGTTAATTAAAATATGTTGCGCAAAATTAGGTAAATATATTAAATAATAATAATAATAAATTAATAATTACATTCTTCATTTAACAGTTCCGAAGTTTTAAAAATTTGTACGTTATACAACTTTTTTTTTATTTTATTTTTTTATTTTAATTAATTAAAATAGATTAGATAAACGTAAAGGATTGAGAAAATTGAATTTTTGAAAATTTGAATTTGAAATTGTTTCGCGGTAAAATTTTAATATTATACGCATGCGCAGAATAGATATTAATTTGACTAGTTTATTGTTGAAAATTCAGAACCACCGTTATAACGTGACGTCCTGCAGGATTCCGAATTTTATTACATTAAATTTGCACAAAATGTGTTTTCTTTTATTGCGGAAGATATATAATCTTAAATAGACACGTTTTATTAATAGTAACAAAACTCGTCAGTGCAGAAAAATTGTAAGTTAATCATATAATCTCAAATATTGTAACAATCTAAATTTTGTTAGGTTTGATCACTTAATTTAGTATTTAGTCGACTTTATCGCAATTCGTAATTATTTTCAAAGCATTTTTTTCAATATATATTCATATTTCGTCTTTTTTTTTGTCTAATTTGATAAAAAAATTAGTTTTTTAAAAAAAATATATTTCCGATTTTATTTTGGAAAGATCTGCGCATGTGCAAATTGGTTATTGATTTGACTAGTTTTATCGATGCAATATATCGTAAAATTTGTATCTCAACGTTTTGGGATTTATTTCATTAATTTTACAGAAGAAATGTGTTTTAATTTGCATCACATGATTATCAATCGTAAATATCATCTGTTTTATTAATAGAAGAAAGTTAATTTAGTGTAGAAAATCGTAAGTTGATCGTATAATCTAAAAAATTGCCACTTAGAAATTTTGTTAGGTTAGGTCAGTCCATTTAGTGAGTTTTGATTTATTCGATTGTAAACAATTCGAAATTCATTTAAAGTAATTTTTTTCCTTATTATCATGTATTTTTTCATATTTTCAGTAAAAAATTCTCTTTTTTTAATATTAAATTCATTTTCATACCATACTTTCGATTATTCTATTTGCGCATGCGCGAAATGGTAATTGATTTGACTAGTTTATCGATGCCGATATAAACAAAATATATCTTACAAAATTTGGGATATATTTAATTAGTTTTACAATAAAATGTATTATCAAAAGATCATCAGGTATAATAATTGTCATTTCATTAATAAAAGTACTTTTATTTCAGTACAAAAACAATCGTAAGTTAACTGTATAATCGTAAAAATTGTCACTAATAAATTTTGTTAGGTTAGGTTTCTATTTCCAGTGTATTCGAATTATTTTCAAAAATTTTATTTTTAATTATCACAAATAGTATAAGCAAATTTTTCAAGATTAGTTATTGCGACGATAAGTAGTTTTTAATTAGGTTTCTTATAAATTTAGGCCATCGTGACAATGAGAATTCTTTTAGTTTCAAAATAAAAAAGATTCGCTGTCACATTATTGTTAGGAACTTAATGAAGATGCAATTTTTTTTTTTTTTATCAATATCGCATGAATCGCTCTTTGTTTTCTTCGTGACTGTATAAAATAGGTCAAACTCGTCCTTATTTTTTAATTACATAAAAGCAGTGTAGCTTTAGTGTAGATATATTTTTTTTACTTGAGAATAGCAAATAAGTGCGAATGCAATAAAAAGTTATATCATGAAGATAAAGTGTAAGAAACTTTAGGTTGGGAATTTGTAGCGTTAGCCAGAGTTGGTTCCCAATGCGATAATAATGATTTATGACGCAATAATTATCCACCTCGTGCCGAGCCAAAAGCGTAGACCCACCTGCTTTTATCGTTTCAAAAAAAAAAAAAAAAAAAAAAAAAAAAAAAAAAAAAAAAAAAAAAAAAAAAAAAAAAAAAAAACCTCGTTTTTGCTTGAAGGGCTCAAAGCAATTTCGCTGAAAGCAAAACTAGACTGCCAGTGAATATATACACAAACCATTTTTGGCATCGGTCGAAAATTATAGTCGCTGATTTTTGTTAAAGCCTTATGGGGGAAAAAAATGAATATTTTTTGGATTCTTTAGAAGAATCTTGAGTTATCGCCTCTTTAGGATACTTTATTAGACTTGTTCCAGAATTGTTTTTTTTACTTATTTCGGACTTAATTTTTCTGGATTATAAAAAAAAAATTACGAGATATTTATTTATGTTAAAAATAATGTTTTTAGAAATAAAAAAAATATTTTTTTTTAAACGTGAAATAATTTTTTGGGAAATTCTTCAGGTACCTGTGGAACGAAGAACACTGCCAACAGATTTACCAGGACCATCGAGAAGAAGACCATTCACGAAACGACATTCGCCTTCAACAGAAGCATGTTCATCAAGCGGAAGTGGCGGCGGTGTAATTGGAAATGTCGCTACAAGTTCAGGAATGCAAACGTCCTGTTCACTTCCGGAAACTCCTGTTTTTGCGAGAGGCAGCGATATTCCTCGGACACCCCAACACGGCGGAAATCCAACGCAACCACGCCGACAACCCGGATGGTACGCTCCCACCACAGCGACAACAGGGTAATTTATTTCTTTGAAAAAAATTTATTTATTATTATTATTATTATTATTTTTTCTAAGTGATAATTGTTTATAGGTATCGGAGGAACAATCCGGGATTGGAGCAGGCAATAATTGGAACTGAATTGCTGCGATTGGCAGGCGGTCCAAATAGAGGCTGGTATCCAACGAGAAAAGCAAATCAACCACGTCCAGCGTCAATTGAACATTTGGAGCGCCTTAACAGTACATACGATGCGAGACTTCCTGGTGCTGGTGATCAGAGGAAACCATTGACACTACCGACCAATATCACACCCAACAAATACTTCGGCCAAAGTAAGCACAGCTCAGCCTCCAGTACACGCGAGGCGCTACGGAGGGTCACTAGCTTGCTCATTAAGAAAGGTAAGCGCCGGAATTTTTCTCAAGTCAACCCCGTGCAGCCTTTTACGCTGGGGTTTTTTTTCCAAAAGAAAGAAAGAAAAACAGAAAAAAATCAGTAGACAATCTCTTAACAAATCTCTCCTGGATCATTGCACTTGAATTTTTTTTTATTAAAAATCTCCTTCGGCTATTATTTTTTAAGAAAATCCATTTTATTTAAATTTTGTGAAGTTGTTTCTTTTAGGTATCGATTAAGTGTGAGAAAAATTTTCGTAAACCCTTTGTAATCTAGTCGAGTTTAAATTTAAAATATTCATTTTGTCATATGGATAAATATTCCTGATATTTAATTTATCAGGAGTAAGAAAATAAATGTCTACAATTAAATTATTTAATTTCTTTATTTCTTTGAAATTTAGTTCATTTTCTTTAAAAATAATGTAGATATTTAAATTTTTTCAATTTTTTTTCTACGAAAAGAAAACTATTTATTTATAATAAATATTTTTTATTCTAATAATATATTGATGAGTTTTAAATAATTTTAATTTAAAGTTCATTGAATGATTTTTTGATATTAGTATTATTAAAAAAAAATTGTTAGCAGAATTTTGTTAAACTGTAAAGTGCAATTTTTCAGAGAGTTTAATAAGAGGAAGAGATTTTTAATTTGATAATTCATCACCTTTTTCGTATAAAAAGTATATTTTAAAATATTTGAATTTGAACAATATTTTCCTTTTCTTTAAATAAAGGTCTTTTTATTAAAAAATTATATTTTAAAATGTTTCTTTTTTATTTTATAAACTGTTCATTTTTAATTTCTATAAATAGATGATGAGTTTTCAATTTATTTATCTCAAATGTCGAAAGTTTTGAAAAAATTAAAATTCTCATTAATACGAAAATAAGTTTACATAATTGAAATTAACCCTCACTTATTACGTGAGTGACCTTTCGTGGCATTTCATCGCCATTTTCTCTTAATACTACTACTTTAATTTTTTTTTTACTGTTAGCTAGCATGGAAAATCTTCTTTTTTTTGTCATTAGTGTTTAGTCTATTTATCATCATCATTTCACCATACAGAATTCTCATTCATTGAAATTTCTAATTAGTAATTTGCTCTCGGCTTGTTTATATAGACCACTCTTTTAGAAATGACAAATGTCATTTTATTAACGGTGAGTTTTTGAAAGTCTTTTTTTTTTTCCTTTGTTGCCTTTTTTCAAATATGATTGTTGCAATTTTGTCAATATTCAGTGTTTTTAAGATTACTTCTGATGCCTTTTGTCAAAAATGAAAATTTATATTTAATTTATTTTTTGTAATTAGTAATTAGTATTATTACGTCTATTTGTTGTTTTAATATATATTTCCTTATAAATGTTTTAATATTTCACAAACATCAATTGTATTTTATTTATTAGAAAAAATAATTTTGATTAATATTTAATATTTATAATTTGATAAATTTCTATTTTAATTGTTTGTAACTATTAGTTTTTGGGTTTTTTAGCTAATAATTTTAATGTTAATTGTTAAAATATAAAATACAAAAAAAAAATTAGTAAAAAAACATAAATTTTCAAAAAAAGAAATGGTTGATTGTTGACTCGTTTTTCGAGAGATGGCACCAGAAGTATCGTTGAGCGGTAGGGTTTTCGATTCTGGAGCACCACGTGCTTTTCCTCCCCCGGAACATGCCTCCATCTGCTGATCGCTTCTTGTACCTTTTGTCTCACTGAATTTGACCGACCTTGAAAGCATGACTGAGAACAAGGACTGGACAAATTTACACGATGCTAAAAACAAACAAAAAAGAAAAAAAACTGTCTCTTAGTAGTTTTTTTCAAAAAATTCCATTTTCAACGTTAAATGTCACGTTAGGGAGAGTTAATTATTTTCCCTTTTAAAAAAAATTAAATAATTTAAATTTATATAAAAAAAAAATTAAAGAAAATAATTTTTTGAAATTTAATATAATTTTATAATTTATTAGTTTCATAGAAATGAAAATAAGGGAAAAATTCATTAATGAAGAAAATATGAAAATTGAAAAATTTGTTTCATGGTTTTTGGAAATATAATTACGATACTGTTTAAGTCTGGAGCGGTTCTTTGGCCTCGTGTAACTTGGCGAGAGAGGACACACACTCCTCGCTGCTTCTTCTTCTTTTCACTCCCCTCCTTTTTATTCGGGACGGCATATTATGTGTGTATGTGTGCGTGTACCAGTTGACGAACCGGTATAATAAAGGAAAATAAATGCTGAAAATCCATGGAGAAAAATGCACAATGCCTATACCTGGAGTTGGGACTTAAAATGATTCTCTCTCTCTCGCTCTCTTTTTTTTAAATTATAGGTGAGGCATGAGTGTGTCGTGGCCTCGTCTACGGGAACCACGAGACACTCTCGCGGGATTCCCGTTATCGATTTCCTCGAAGAATGATGTGAGTGCAAATCCTCCCTCTTTTGGATTTTCATCAATAGCTCGAAAAAAGAATTATACTCCTGATTCCCAACACCTGCTTTCATCTCTCTCTCTCTTTTTTTTTTCTTCTCGCCTCTTGATAATCATAAAATACCCGCAATTAATGCCCATTTGACTCGTATTCTGTTAGAGAAGAATTAAATTTGTAATTACATATTGTTTTATTAATTTTTCTATAATTCGTAGACCAATGATAGAATTATACAAAATAACATCTAATTTTATTTAATTTATTATTATTTATTTAATACCAATTAATTATTTATTAAATAGTACGTGAATATTATTAATAAACAATTGATAAACTATAAGTTCATTGAACTTCAATTTATTTTAGATTATTCTATTGAAATTTTGATAAATTAATACTTTTATCATATATATTATTAATACTTATTAAAGTACCTATTATTATAAATTTTCATTCTTCAATTTGTCCTTTTAAATCGAATGACTTTGAAAAACTTTCTTCTTTTTCATCATTTTTTGCTCTCAGATGATATTAATCTTCAAAATGAAAGGTGATCTTTTTTTTACCAAGAATTTTTTTTCCGTAACCAAGCGCATCAAAAACTTTCAGTAGGAATGAAATATTTAGACATTTGGATTTTATTTTTAATAAATAAATTAAAATTAATTAGTTTCTTAATAATTTATTAATTTGAAAATTTTCCTATGATTAGAAAAAATATTTGAATTAAACTTGTGAAATGAACACAATGTCTTGGGGGAAAAAAGAAATGTTTCATCTTTGCGTATTAATTATAATTTGTATAATTATTCAGAATGACGATCATCATTGAGAGAGACATTGTTTTCGAACATGTTGGAAAAAAAGAACAATGCAGCCAAACCAGTTCACTAGACCTTATCAGTCGTTTATTTATAGGACATAATATCAACACGGTTCGCAACACGGTTTTGCATTTATCGAATTGTGACTGACAAATATTTTTTTCTTGTTCGAAAAATGATATTAATTTTCGCTATAAAATTAATAATAATTATTATCCCTTTCTATTACTTTTTTTTCCCCCAAAACAGAAAAATAATTCTTATTTTATAAATTTTACTATTTTTATTGTACTTTTCGTTTTCAAAAATTTTTTTTTCAATGGAAATTTAAAAAAAAATTTAATTAAATTATAATTAATATTATAATTTTGTTAATTTAAAAAAAAAAATTTTCGCAATTTGAAATGATTCTGTAAAAAAAAAACTTGGAAGAAAATTTTATTTGCATTTTAACGGTTTCACGAGTTCTTAAAGAAAACATATAAAAATTACTTTTTCGAAAACTAATTTAAAGAATTTTTTTAGCGATAAGATTTAAGAAAAGGTAGCCACAATATGAGGAATTATTTTTTATTTATTTTTACAAATTTTTTGTAAAATTACGTTTTTATTTAAAATATTTTTTTTTTTCACTTGACCGTGACACGTTTACGTATTTTATAATATAGGCATTGTAAAGTGTTTAAAAAACGTTGAGGGGATTTAAAATTCTAAAAATGTTCCTTCACAATTTTTTAGGGAACTGACTCAGGTATAGAAATATTCAAAGGGATGATTAATTAATTTTCATCTTAAACTGAATGTCAGGATTATGAAATCCATCTTCAAATGGACGAAAGAAATTATTAAGTTCTTACTAGAAAATAGTTTAAATCTTTTTATCATAAAAATGAAAAATATCGACATAAATAGAAAATAGTTTTTTTTTTAATAATTTATTGAAAATAATTAAAATAGAAAATATTTTTAGACTTTTTTTTGGGAAAATACTTTCTATAAATTAACAAATCAAATATTTGGTAAAATATGAAGAAAAAAAATGTAAATAAACGAAATATGAAAAGAGTTAATGATATTTATAAAGGGAAAGATAATTTGTATCGTGTACTAATTAGTGTCATTAACGATAATATTTCAAATTAACTTTTATTTTGAATATTTTTGATGATTCTTGAAAATCAAAATTTAAAAATTCATTATCAATTTTACAAAAAAGAAATTGAAATTAAACTTTTTTTTAGTTATCTCGCAACTTTTTGAAAATAGTAACTGGAAAAATGCAAATAAATGACGAAAAATGTATTTTTTTTAATTTATTTTACAAACAAAATTATATTTTTTGTTATTAAACTGAAAAAGGAAAATTATTTTTCAAAAATATTGAAATTCTGAAAATATCGACACAAATTCTATAATATAAATTTCTCCATATGTAGCTTTTATTCATCACTTTTTCTTGCACCCACAACAGAATGTCCGGCTTTTTGAAAAGTACCCTTTTACATATCGTTCGTTCAATTCATGAGAAACTCCTATATTTGTATATGTATATGTATAGAAAGAATAATAATAGTAGAAAAGAGGGGAGAATAGGAGAAATGTTTTTCGGTCGTATAGTAGATTTTGAGGGGTGGTTGTCCTCTCGTATTGCGGGGGTGGAACATACGAAAAGTAGGAGTTGAAAATCAAGAGAGGGGAAAACAGGGTAACATTTTAAGAGAAGTTAGAAA